ATTATTTATTCTAACATCACATATAATTTCTAGTTCAGATAAAATTTAAACAGGGAATCCTCTGTTAATCTTCCCTCCAGAATCAATTAACATCTCTTTTTCTGTTTCAGGAGAAACAAAGGGGATTTTATTGACAATGACCTGTTTATTTCTGAGGCTGTTTTAGTTTAGAAGAAAGGAAAACCTAAAGTAAACAAAACTAATTACTAGAAAAATAACTTTCAGTTTGCAGCCTTGCTATGTCTGGGAATGGAATTTATAATTAAGAACAATCACCAGAATTGTTCTGGTTGGGAAAGACCTTTAGGATTGAGTCAACTCATTAACCCAGCTCTACAGAGTCCAGTGCTAAACTGTGTTCCTAAGCATCACGTCTACATCTAAACACCTCCAGAGATGGTGATTCCAACCACCTCCCTGGGAAGCCTGTGCCAGTGTTTGAGAACCCATTCAGGGAAGAAGTTTCTTCCAATGTCCAGTCTAAACCTCCCCTGGCACAACAACACTTCTCTTCCATTTTTCTTTTGTTCTTGCTGGCAGTAACAAAGAACAACGTCTTTATGCCATCAAGTTTCTGTGAACCCTCTACAGGCAATTCTGACTCAGAACCAGGTGAGCTTCCTCATTTTTCAGCTTATTCTCAGCAAATTGCTATCAGTCTGTCACCTTCTGTACTGTGATACTTCTGAGGGCCATGTCTGGGAGAGTGGAAGTGGTGATGGTTCTGATCTTACAGCTGTTCTCTTGCTCACTTCATTGCTTCATTTCATGCTTGCTGAAGGTAAATAAAATAACAAATATCAACATACTTGAATTCTTTGGGAGTGGTGGTGGAAGACTACAGCGAGGTTCTGTGCCCATCTGTTAACCTCAAGATGAAACTTAAAGGGAAACTTTCGTTTATCTATTTTGGATACTGTTTTTTAATATTGAAAATCTAATCAGCCATAATCTGTGGTCATGATGATGTTCAATCCCCTGTTGACAGTACTGCTGGTTTTATTACTCACTGTTGTTTGTGTTGGTATCACTGTACAGCATATTTATCTTATATTTAAATGGCATGAAAATAATGAAGTGGAGTAAGATGATCAGGTGTTGAGTTGTCTTATTCTGAGCACAGCCGATATGCCCCTAAAATGAAACGTTTTATAATTCTACCTTTTAAGTTCTTAGGAACTCATTTTATGGTGGCTGTGGATTCATGATTATTACTGTTTTTTGTTCAAGATTTTGGTATTTTAGATAAAAGTCTTACGTGTGTACAAGCAAAGTCATCTTTTACCTTCATACTATAAAAGCTTAAGGTAAAAGCTAATGGAATTAGAAGAAACTAATATTAGACAATGAAGTTTAACTTGATTTAGGTCAATTAGCCGTAGGGAGCTTGCTAGCAGCTGTCATGTTCAGTAATACTTTTGCTTGTCCTTTCTTTAGTTTGGTTCTCTACTTAGGAACTCTATTAAACTTCTGTTAAGGCCTTCACAGAGCACCATTTTTCTTGTGAAAATAGTCTGTTTCATGTGTCTCTTGAAAAACAATTTTGAATGTTTTTCATGCAACAGCTCTGTTTCTGTCTTTGTGTATTTGCTGTTATGATTGCTGGAAATTCAGCCTTTTTTTGGAAAAAGATAATTTCTTCTTTGGATATTTCTATAAAATGTGTGAGTTGTTACAGTGCGGAAAGCAAGAGAAATTTCATGACTGAATGAATGTAGGTAGTATGTTCCAGTTATGTCCTTGTAATTTTGTATCTTACTTCTAGAGGAAAAGAGCAGTGGATTCCGGCTGAAGCCACCAATACTTATCCATGGTCAGGCACCTAGTGCAGGTGAGATCAGTGTTTTCTTCAGCACTATAAAGAAACCAGTTGAAGTATTTTAGATGGGAGTTGCCTCAAACTGCTATTGTAACTGGAAGGTGGCTCAAACCAGGGCAATGTATTGATGTAGAAAAAAACTGGAGAATACACAAGAGTGGTTATGCCCATACACACTATCTCATGTACAGACACATCCCAGTTCTGGCTGGGATCAGTCATGGATTTCTGAAATGTCTCTCCCAGTTGTCTCTGCCTATCATGTTTTGATTCAATTCTTGCAGTAATCATGGGCTTCATGAGCTCAATTCCTTTGGTAACAAAGTGGGATGAAAGGGGTGCTCCAGGAGTCCACTGACAGAGTTCCAGCCCTTACTGGGCACTCAGTCTGGGACCAAGCTGAAGCCAAGTTGAAGCTGTTCACTTCCCATTTCCTCCTTTCCCTGGCTTTCTTGATCCTACCTGTTCTGTGGTACAGTTTGGCTTGGTTCTTACTGAGCTTCCTTTTGGTGGTGTAGACCCAGCTAATAAGGAAAAGACATTAACATTACAGCTCCTTAGGATTAGAGAAAGAAACAAAACTATTTCGGTGATGGAAGTGATTAATTGTTATATCATAGAATCACAGTGGCTGGAAGGGACCTCTGAAGATCATCCAGTCAAACCCTCCTGCTGCAGCAGGAACACCCAGGGCAGATCACACAGGAACGTGTCCAGATGGGTCTTGAAAGTCTCCAGAGAAGGAGACTCCACAGCCTCTCTGGGCAGCCTGTCCGAGGCCTCCCTCACCCTCACAGCAAAGAAATTTCTCCTCATGTTGAGGTGGAACTTCCTGTGTTGTGTGACTTGGTGCCATTTCCCCTGTCCTGTCACAGGCACCACTGAACAGAGACTGGCCCATTCTTGACACCCACCCTGCAGATGTTTATAGACGTTCATCAGATCCCCTCTTGGTCTTCTCTTCTGCAGACTAAACAGCCCCAGGTCTCTCTGCCTTTCATCTCTGCTTCATCAGGCAGACGTTCCAGTCCCTTCATCATTCTTGTGGCCTCCACTGGACTCTCTCCAGTAGATCCCTGTCCCTCTTGAACTGGGGAGCCCAGAACTGGACACAGCACTCCAGATGTGGAAACTATTTAATTCATTTGCAGGAAGAGTAGTTACATTTAAAAAAGAAGAAGGTTTTTGAGCTGACAAATGAACATTTGGGCTTGAGATTATTTCTGTGGTTTGGTGGCTGTTGTGTCCTTTGAATGTGGATGGCCCAAAATGGAACTAGTTGCAAAATATTCAGCTGAGTTGGTATGAGTACATTCTGTTGCAGTTTTATGCATTGGATCAATAGTTCATCTTTGTTTTGTTCAATGAAGAAAACTGAACCTTCTGAAGTTGCTAAAACATTCTAGAGTTTCAGATGTATTCTATTTATTAAGTTCAGTTGGCTTTTTGTGCCAGAGCAGAACTAGAGTTGTGGTGCCATGTATCTTACCAAAGCACACCAAAGAGGCTAGGTTAATTCAAAAAGCCAAAAGGCTGTTAAATAAAACAACATGTAAGATTACTACACTACCAATACCTTTGATTTTACGAAGGACAAAAAACCCCACATTAGTATCTCAAAATTACTCCATTGGAAGGAGAAGACTTGGGATGTAGTTGAACACATCTCTGATTGTTTGCTGTTCATTTCTCTTGTATTTTGACTTTTATTTTTGAGTCGTTGTCATAAACTCTCCTATGCTTTCCTGGGTAAGGTAGAGAATAGATTTTCAAGTGTCTTTTAAGGCTTGGAAGTTGTTGTCTCTGTGGGACTAATTGTATTTTTGAGGCTGAGAGATGGGAAAGAGGGGGGTGGAAGGTTTTAAAGTATCTGCTGTTCCATTGTATATTCTGTTTGAAGCAGTTACAGAGAAGATTAAATCAAGTTGAATTTTTCAGCTCAAGAGCTTTATAACTCTTGAAAAACCTTTGTACTTGCAGGACTCCCAAGCCAGAAGCCAAAGGAGCAGCAGCGCAGTGTGCTACGTCCAGCAGTGTTACAGGCACCACAGCCAAAAGCTTTCTCACAGATGGGTAAATAAAGCTTTTGCTTTCTAGAACAAAAGTACAAGATCTGTTTAGTGTACTGGTTTGTATTTACTCAGCATCTGGTCTTGTTTTTCTCTAGGTTTCTCCTTTCAGAAGGAAACATCTTAAATGTGAAGTAAATTTTTGTTATATAAAGGATGTCACATTGGGACCTTCAGTTTTTGTGTAGAATGACTGTGACATTGCCAGGCCTCCAACTTTGGCATAGTCCAGCCTTGGCTTTTGGAAAAAAAAGACTTTGAGGATGTGAATTGGCAATGTCAAATGGCAGCATTGACCTAGGCTTAATAAGCTACTGCTGGTCAATTGAACAGTAGGGGCAGACTTGAGCTAGCTGCCCCGTGATGTAAAATGCCCAGATCATTGGACTTGGGGACCATTTTGGAGTTGTGACTTTGAGACTTTTTGAGACTTTTAATTCTTAGTTTGGTCATATATATTAAGCTTATTGTATTGTTATGCAATGTGATATATCTAATAGAAATAGGCATTAGGGAAACTGGAAGCTGAAGAAAAAAATCTGTTGGAGGTGCCCATGTCTCCTAACCCTGGGAAACTCCTGTGTTTCCCCAGCCCTCTGCCTTTTCTTAGTTGTGAGTTGAGTTGAACAGAAATAACTTCAGTTAAGGCTGAGTCTAGTATACATCCAGAAGTTTCTAGCTTGATTTCTTGGCATACCTGTTGGCCCAAATTGGATTCTACAGAGGACTTAATATTGGGATACAAATTTTCAGTGGGAGTTCAGTGTGTAAGTAGCCAGATCAGTCCAAAGAGGAGCTCTGCTGGCTATGAACAGTATCAGATTGGAGCAGGGGGGTTGCTTTAAGTGGTGTATGTTGGAGTCCTTGCAGTGTTTGTATAGATTCAGTAAGGGACTTTTTACTGACTTAGTTTTCTGCATTTGGAATTTGGATTCTGCTAAGAATTGCTGAATCCTGGTCCTTGTGTCACTTGCAAAATACTATGGGGACTCTGTAATTTACACTGCAATGTTTTATGGATTAGCAAGAGAACATGCAGTTTGCTGGAGAAGACTGACTACTTTTAGGCCAATCTAAGCATCTAGAGAATTGATATCATTCCTTTATTCCTTATTGCAGTTCTCAGCAGTGGCACCAATGGTGTAAATATCCCTCCAGATTCTGCAACCACATCAGAATCACTAAGTAATGCAACACTGAAAAATTCTGACTGTGAAGACAAGGTGAGTTGAAGAGGAACTGAAGAACATTTAAGGTGACAAACTTTAGAACAGTGATCTCTGAACAGAGTCTCTTTATTTAGTAATGTGAGGGCAGTTACAGCCCCCTTATTTGTCCGTACTATGGTAACACACTTCAGATGTAGTAGATTATTCTATATGTCCTAACTGTATGCTGTATTAACTCAAGAATTGTAACAAAGATTTACTGAATCCACAGTTTATGATCATTTTTCATACCTTTTTCCTCTTCAAAAAATATAAATTGCTCACTTCTGCTTCTGTTGTCATTGGTTCTTTTAGTCTTTCTAGCTTTATTTCTATTCAAATTATTTTGCTGCTTGAATGATGCTGTTGCTACCATAGACCATGAATGCCTGCAGTTGGGGTATCTTGGTTCAGTGGACTGATAAAATACTGCTTTTTCATCTGATCAGATTGCATGAAGAAATGCATCTTTCACCTACAGGCCCATCTCTTACTCTGTGTACAAGGAGTGGGTCAGGAGAAGAGGAAATTGTCTTTTAGGGGGAAAACTGTCATTTTCTTTAGTGGCTGTCACCTGGTCTGACTGGTGCTCTTGTCAGGCTGGAGACCAGGAAATGTTGACTGTGTGGCTTTTCCTGCCTGTAAAGGCTTTGGTGTTTTGAGCTGGGTGAACTAGGCAGTTTGCTCACATGTTGAGTCTTTCTTTTCAGACCTGCCTAGCAAGCAGCAGTCCCCTGTGCATGGATGATGGCCTTACTGGGGTTGCCTTAGTTCCTAACAACTGGAATTGTGTTGGGAGATGTGAGGGTGGAAAAGATATAGGCAATTGAAACAAATGATTAACACACAGAAGCTTAGAAACAGGAGCTGATAGTGGGTAGAAACGCAGCAACAGCAAATAAATTCCCTACAGGAAATGGTGGAGGAGGAGCGCAGGTGATGAGGGGTGAAAAGCTTCTGCTAGAGGAAAAGACATCCAGGTGCATTGAAAGTCATTTATTCAGTATCTTGAAAGGAAAGTAATGAAATAGTTCCTTCCCTCTTCTGTACAGAGAGTCCAGTCCTTTCCTTCCTGCAGGCATTGAGCTAACTGTTGGCATCTGAAGATGTGTTGACTCAGAGCATGAGGAGGATGTTTGCAGATTTTGAGAGCTGGTGCCTTTTGGGTGGCTTTTTAGGGTTTGGTGGGTTTTTTTGTAGCTTCATTAGACAGTGGTTTGCACTATGGATGCAATGTTGAACATTGGTGAGTTGTATTGTTAACAATGCAAGAGTATCATGGAATCACAGGATGGTTTTGGGTGGAAGGGACCATGTAGATCATCTAGATCCAAGCCCCCTGCATGGGCAGGGATACCTCCCACTAGATCAAATTACTCAGAGGCCCATCCAGCCTGGTCTTGAATTATTCCAGGGATGGGGCAGGCACAGCTTCTCTGGGCAACCGGGGCCAGTCTCTCACCAACCTCACAGTGAAGAATTCCCTCCTTTGGACCCAGTCCAGCATTGTTTTCCCACCACTGCCTTAGAGTTGGACTGAGCAAAGAGAAGAAAGTAGCTAAAGCCTTTGGAAGCTTGAAGATGTTGGTTCTAAAGGGGAGCTTTAAGTACTTTTGACACCTGATAAAACGGTAACATATCTTGGTAGGAGTGCTCTTGGAGGTTTTAGAATTAAGTTGGGAACAGTTCTTTTGCTGGATAAGTTGACCAGAAGGTACTCAGCTGGAGCTGTATTCCCAGCAAAGTAGCTGTGATTGCAGCAGTGAGGAGCCAAGAGTTTGAGATCCTAAGGGAAACAGGGAAGATCAGTAGATTAAAGACCCAAACTTTAGGAGAGAAGACTTCAGTTTGTTTATAGGATCTTGAAGGACAGAAAGGCTCAGGAGGACTTACCTTTATGGACAACCATCTCAGAGAATGAGTAGTTTATGCCAATGTGTAGGTCACTGTGGCAGGAGGCCAGTGTGGATAAAACATGGTGACCAACCTGATTTATTTTTTCCCCTCTGACATGATTGGCTCTTGTTTTGACTTGAGCAAGGTCTTTGAAATGCATGGTCCCTGCTGTCATCGTCATAGTTGGGTGTAATTTCAAGTGGGTGGAAAATCGGCTGAATCAGTAAGCTTCAAGGGTAGCAGTCAGTGGTTCAAAGTCAGTCTCTAGAGGCATTCCTTCTGGGCTGTTACAGAGGTCACTACTATTTAATGTTTACATGAACAACCTGGGGTGAAGTGAATCTTGGTAAGTTCATGGATGGCAGTAAACTGAGGGAAGGGGAAAATGGTCAGTATGTTGGAAAGCAGGGCTGTTCAGAGGGATGGGAGCCAAGAGAAACCAACTGACGGTAAATAAATGCAAAGTCCCTGTACATTGAGTGAGATAACTTGAGTCACAAAAACCAAAGAGTAACTGGCTAGAAAGCAGCTATGCAGAGAAGTTCTTGCAGATCCTGGTGGCACATGAAGGATGTTGAGGCTAGTTCCCATGTGCAGATTTTATTAGCATGGTCTAGAGCTGATAGGATTACTTCTAAGTGTGGCAGTTCTTTAATTTTGGAGGAGGGGAGATGAAAAAGGGAAAGAGAAGGGAAACTTCTTGTGGACCAGCTAGGAAGACGAGAGAGGTTCCCCAGACAAGCATCTTCCCTCTGGATGTTCTCTCCAGTGGAGCAGGTGGTGTCCCATAATACTCTTCCTATGGTAATTCTATAGTTTTCATCAGGATCAAGCTTCCTGCTGTTTTGTTTTGTTTTTTTCTGCTTGTGCCCTTAATGCTGATGGGAATATGCTTTGGTGAGGAGCAGCTGCTGTTTAGTGTTTGAGCCTTCTAATGTGGATCGAAAGCTACAGGGTAGTGAATGAGGAGAGAAGAGGGAGGGGACCATTCCCATACTGGCTGCAGTTGCTCCCCAAAACCACTATAGGGGTTTGCAGGTACAAGACCCTGAGTATAATTAGATGAGACCTAAAAGGGGAAGACACTGCCACAGGGGCTCTGGCAGCAGGCATGTTGTGCAAAGATTTGCTGGTACATGAAAGACATTTACAAGCCCCCAAGGTAATTAGTGGCTGGAGCATGTGGTGTCTGGTGAGAGAGTGAAAAAGCTTGGGCTAGGAGAGAGGGAATTGAATAGTTCTCAACTATCTAATGGTGGGCTGTAGTGAGATCAAATGAGACTTGGAAGTGCCTATCAAACAAATGAGGGGTGGGGGATTCCAGTTGGGTCTTAGGACAGAACTAACATGTTTAGTGCAGCTGAGCAGGCTCCCAAACTGTAAAGCTGCCATCTGTGGATTTTATTGAGACTTGACTTAACTGTAGAGGTCTTCAGTACCCTACCAGAATTTTGAAGTTGATGCTGCTTGGAGCATGGCTTGGACCAAGTGATTGTGAGAGATCCTCTTGAACCTTTACTATTCTGTGATTTATTAGGAAAGATGCTCTAAACAACAAGAGAGGAATTTTTTTTAAGTGCAAAATTTGCCTTGTAGTTCTGGAGATGTTACTGGCTTTTCTTTGTAAATGACCTTGGGACTCTTTGTGTCATGACACTTGTGTTTTATTTAAAGAAACTCAGTTCCCTGGGCTAAGGTTTTCTATTCCTTTTCTTTAGGCAGGAGAATGTCAGAAAAGAGAGTCCAACAATACTTCAGATGATGACAGCTGTGAGAAGGCAGAACTAAATGCTCAGCAAGCGTTTGTATTTGGGCAAAACTTAAGAGATAGAGTTAAGGTAAGTACGTGTTTATGTTAACTAAGGGTTGATGTGTTTAAGTGAAAGCAGTGAAACAGACCATTTGTTGGTGTGAGCACAACACACTGTTCATTAAGTACTTTGAAGCCACTATATACAGGGTTAGAACCTCTATGTATATGTGCAGCTTTAGAAGCTGTGAATACAGTTTGCTTGGCTGTTTAGTAAAGTGAGTCTTCCAGACACTAGCAAAAAAGTAATACTGGTTAGTAGCATAAGAAGCTTTTACAAACAAGAATGCATCTCTTGCAGTCATAGGTAACTTCTATAGCTTGGTGTGTGTGATGAATTCTCTTACATTTTGGGTTGGAATTAAGTTAAAACGAGTTCCTGAGAAGCTGAAGTGTTCCTCACAGCAACTGTGAGAGAAGAAAAATGGGGCAACCTGTGCATGAAGTGACTGAGTAGGGATTGTTAGTACCTCCTGTTGAAGGCAGGTTTGAGCCTAACAACAGAAAAAGTCATACTGGGATGTAGGCCCATAGTGGTTTGTTGCAGAAAATGTTTGTGGATGGAATTTTGATTTGTGAAAGAACGAGATGAAAATGTTGTGGTCAGTAGTTAAAACTGTCAGTATATACTTATTCTTTTTATAGCTAGGTGATGAAAGCCATGAAACTGCTGATGTGCAGAATGCTGGCCTTCCTACATCAGACCTACCTTCTGCAACAAATTATTTTCTACAATACATCAGTTCCAGGTGAGACTTCAGGGAGACCTCCAGGACAGTTTTCTTTATTTTGTGTTCAGAAGTATTTGTGATTCTGTTCTTTATTGGATGCAGGACTGATTCTGGGTCAGTGGGAATCTGGGCTTCTGAAGGATAAGGTCTCAAACTTCAGATCTGGGGGATTCCTCTATCATCTGGTCAAGGCAGATGGATTTGACACCTCTTACTTGACCCAGGTCCTCACCAAAGCCTCTTCATGAACCCAACAAGCATAAAATGAGAGAAGTCTTCTCATGAATTATTAGAAAGAAACAGTGATGGAATAAATTGGATGTAGCAGTAGACTCCTCTAGAGATCTCTGTGTTTGTGTTCAATATGTTTCATATGCAATATGGGTAAAGGGAATAATTCTAATTCCACAAAAGCAGGAGGTACTCTCATGATATTAAGTTGACTTCATTTTTGTTTGTTTCTGTGTCAACCAGTGTTTAATTTTCAAAGCCAGTGTTCCTCAGTTTTTGAGGAATTTAATCAGTAGAAGATAAACAGGTATTTTCCTGACTTATAAAACCTGTTTGGTGCTTGTTTGTCTTTTCAGTGCAGAGAACTCTACAAACAGCACAGATGCATCTAACAAGTTTGTTTTTGGACAAAACATGAGCGAGCGAGTCCTAGTAAGTAACAACTGGTGTGAAATGTTGTGATTTGGGGGTAGTTTGTGTTCCTGCTGCTCACTGAGGAGTTTTGATAACCTTCTTGTCACTGGGGCACAGATTCACTAGTTCCCCTTGTAGGGAACATCCTGAGAGCAGAAGGGGGGTTTGTTAGGAGCTCTTGTGGGCAGCAGCCATGCTGGCCAGGCTTTCCCTGCCAGGACCACCCCCCATCTCTGCAGCACCCCCACCTGCAGGTAAAACTTCTAGTACTTCACTGTTTCCTACTGTTGTTTTTACTGTTCTGCTTGTGCAAAAGGGAGTGGTTCATGCTGCACATTTATACCTGTCTAGCACTGAGCGAGGATCTCAGTCAAGTAACTGGAGTTGAACTACAGCTGAAAGTGCTTTGCTTTGTTAAACTGAACTTCAGAATAAAGGTTAAAATTTTGTTTCAGTTCAGGGTTAAATAATTTGAACTGGTGTTCAGGTCAGGCTCCCTTCAGTTTCTTGGCCAGGGAGCAGTGGGATTTCTTCTCTGTGAACATGTCATATATGGGATTCTTCTTCAGCTGTGTGATTCATAAACACTAGGCCTTTCCTCAGTATTGGAGCACTGATCTTGTTCTGAAAATTAGTGTTTGCTCTTTTCTCTTGACCTCCCTTTTTGCAACAGAGTCCACCAAAATCAAACGAAGGTAGTACAGAGAGTAATAAGGAGAACCCTGCTACAGAGTCTGGTTCTGAATCATCTTCTCAGGAAGCCACACCAGAGAAAGGTGAACAACAAAATATTATTTAGGCATGCTAGTTAATTTTTGTGAAAATTCTTTTCAAGATGCCTTTGCTTCATAAGACCATAACATGTTAATGTTGCCTTTACTGACTTCAGTAACCAAGTGGTGGGAGGAGCTGGGTGCTGTAGGTTTTCCTGTCCTTTTGCCTCTGATATTAAACATGTACAGGCTATACTGTCTTTCTCATGGTCCTTCTGTGGGATTGAGAGTAGCTTCAACAGAATGGAAGTAGAGGGAACTAACAGAAGGTACTTGGACCTACATAGTGTAGAATAAGTGTGGCAAACTGTTTTATAACAATTCTATGATACTTCCAGTGACTGGATGTGTCAGAGTCAAATGTATTTTGTATTGAGTCAGTGCCCCAGATGTGTTGCTTGAACCAAGAACAGTTTGCTGGGTTCTAGACTTTTGTGGCCCCTGAGATTGGCAAGATTTTCTGGAAATTCTGGAAGCTGTGGGTTTCCTCCAGCAAACTGCTTGCAAGCCACAATAAAAACAGAAAATGAATTGTGTGGTATGTGTGTCGGCACAACACTAGCTGGTAGCAGTGTCAGTACTGCTGGAGCACCTGCACCATGTGTCAAAGGGTTTGAAATGCTGGATGTGGGGACAGAATTTTTCAGTAACTTGCCTCTTCTGTCCCTTGCATGTTCTTGTGCTTTTAAAACAAGTCTTTAAAGCAGAAGTTAAAGCTTGTCTTTCAACTTCAGTCCTGTTCCTAATGTCCTGTTAATGTCTGTCTTTTGTACCTTATTTCTCTAAATTTTACTGTACTTGTGATACCTTTATAAATCTTACCTAATTATATGCTTATCATTCTCAAACTTTCAAAATGTTGTTCAGCTAATAATATTTCAGAATCACTGGCAGAGTCTGCAGCAGCCTATACTAAAGCGACAGCCAGGAAGTGTTTATTAGCCAAGGTCGAAGTGATTACTGGGGAGGAAGCTGAAAGCAACGTCTTGCAGGTAAGAAAGAGAGCAGAGGAGCTTTGAGTTTATGGGGATTCACATGGATGTCCAGTCACCTGATTCCCTACAAGTCAGCCATCCTCTAGATCTCTAATGTGCTTTCTTGGGTTCAAGTGCAAATTTTGGATAATTATGATCAGATCCTTACTCTGTTTATTTCCTCTTTCTGAAAAAAGTTCAGTGTTTGGGCCACCCAGATGAATCTTAAGCATACTTTAAAAACAATTCTTAGGAGAAAATTTAAATGAACTAAATATTTTCAAGTTCTTTCAATATCATACAAGCAAAGGTTTTGTTTAGAAACTCAGAATGCACTATTGCCAGCATTCCCTTCTCTTGCTAATCAGACACCATAAAACAGTACTCAGTAATTTGTCTTGAGGCACTTAATTGGATTACTGGTGTTTTAGAAGAATATTCAGTCACGTCTTAAAGACTTGATTTTTTTAATTCTGTTTTAATTCTGATTTTTAATCTTTACTTAACATTGTAATTATTTATTACTTTATTCTTATTAACTTCAGCATGTCCTTAAAAAAGGCAGCTGTAGGTACATCAGCTTTAGGTGACTAAATATAAAATACAGTATTCAATCAACCACTGCGCTATAGAGAAGTTTTCTGTTGCAGATTCAGTGCAAGCTGTTTGTATTTGATAAAAACTCTCAGTCTTGGGTGGAAAGAGGTCGAGGACTTCTGAGACTCAATGATATGGCCTCAACAGATGATGGAACGTTACAGTCTCGGCTGGGTAAGAGGAACGAGGGGAATGAGGTGACAGTCAGTGCTGTTTTCATAGGATGCTTCCATGACACATCTGCATCCACTATATCTTGTGTCTTAGCTACAGGAATGCAGAAGCAGTTTGAACTTCTTCTCTTGCTTCAGTTTATACCCATTTCCTCCAAAGAGAGGATCTTTTCCTATCCTTCTATGGTAGCTAATGTTCCAGTTACATTTCCCCAGAAAAACTCTGCTTAACTAGAGTACTTGACTAGGAAGTTTTGCCAACATTCTTGAGACCTGGGCTCTTTGCTGTTTGGGACAGGCCTCTTTGAATAGTGTATGATTCTTCAGACTGGCAGGAAGATGCATTAGCATGAGATACCAGCTCAGATCCAGCCTTTGATGTATTAACATATAAGACTAATTATCTTTAGACATGACTGATAATCTTTAATCACCTACATTCTTCTGATTAACAGCTGGGACAAGACTCCTATTTTAAGGGCTTTCCCCTGATACTGTTTGCAAAGAGACTTAAGCATTCACACAATAAAGAGCCATGTTGGCTGTTTTTAGCTTCCTGTGGTGTGTTTTTCCACCTAACTGATCTTGTATGTTGGCTTTAGTGATGAGGACCCAGGGGAGTCTCAGGTTAATCTTGAATACCAAGCTCTGGGCCCAGATGCAGATTGATAAAGCCAGTGAGAAGAGTATCCGGATCACTGCCATGGATACAGAGGACCAGGGAGTTAAAGTTTTTCTTATATCAGTGAGTACTGTTGGTTTTTTTTTTGTTTAAATCTTTAACCTTCCTACTAAAATTGGTGCTTTCTTTTAACTACTTCAGGTAACATTCCATTCTTCTTTGCACCCTAACTCCTTGCCACCACCCCTTCCCCAAAGACAAGGGGCTTGGCAGACTTGGCTTGTCTGAAAAGCCTCACTAAGTTATAAAAAAATTCCACATAAAAAGCTGCCCTAGGAAGCCACGTTGTGTAAAGCATTAACCATGGAGTTGTGGGCTCTGTTCCATGCCTACTGAGACTATAACTGTAGTGCAAGATTAATGCAAATAATTTCTTACTATCAAAGGAAATAGACATTTCATAGATTTCTGTGTAGCAACTTAACCAGAATTAGATCTACCAGAAGTTGTAGCACAGGAAAAGTCTCTGCCCGCAGTGTGGGTGGCTGTGTAGGTGTTCACTGGAAGTAAGACACTAAATATCTGCCAAAAGCATTGTGTTAGTAGTTCAGGGTAGCACATTTTCACTTGGATTTTCTTTTCATGCAGAGTATTCCCAGCAGTAGCAAGACAGTGAAAGGAATTTCTGTGTCTGTGAAATGGGGAAACATCAATTCCAGTTAGACTAAAACATTGGGAGGTCATGGTACAATCAGCAACACAAAGGTCATTCTCTGATATCTGCCAAGAGCACTTACAGGTTTGGGGAGTCTGAACACAAAATTTTTACTGATTTTTACACAAGGGGTTGCTGAAGAATTAAGTGTTCTATGGATGAGAATTTAATTCTTCATCAGCAGAGTATCCATTGAAGAGCAGTGAAATGAATGAAATTAATAGCTTTTGCTCCACATTTTTCTAGATTTGAAAAGTTTGAGTTAATCTCTCCGGTTATTCATTATTGAAGTTAATATTGATAAAATGTATCTGATATGGAATAACTTATTCACTACAGCTTATTGCAGGGGACTTCTGGAGATTTAGAGGTGTGAGATTGAAGTGACAGGGAGGATGGAAAGGGATTTTTATGAAAGAATCTGAGAAACGGGATCATTACCTTACATTAACTTCTATTACTCCAAGTTAAATGTAAGGACTTAATTGACATAGTGAAGACAGAGTCTCATAGTAGTTGAAGGGATCTCCCTTTTAAATAATATCCATTATATAATTAATTGATAGGCCTAAGGATTGATTCCTCTGAAGGCATGAAATGGCCATTAATCTGTGAGAGTAAAAAATCTATGATTGGACAGGCTGTCACAAATGCTTCCTTCTGGAGCAGCTGACCAGTGTCAGAGTGTAAAAAAAGAAAAAAATGAATAATTACCTGTCTTCCTGCATGTCCATTCTGTTTTCTCCTCTCTTATGTTGAAATTTTGTCACTGCATCGTGAAACAATTTAGTTAATTATGTTTAACAAATGTGTAAAGTTGAGTGAATGACAAACCTGGAAAAACCTGTGCAAGGCAAACTTTTAAATTACAGCTCCTTTTAGCATATGCTTTTGGGAGGTGTCAGGAAAGCTGTGTGACTCCTGGGTGAAGGTTATATAAAATAATCTAGGACTGGTTTTATTAGCCAGAGAAAGCTGCTACTGAGCAGAATTTACTCTCCCCATCAGATTTTAGTGTCTAGATCTTGCTGTTTACAGCACAACCCATTCTCATCTAGCTTGAAAAACCCTATATGAGGAAGCTGAAAAGTAGATGGTGACATTTGGCATGTTTGGTGTGTATTACCTAAGCAGTTATTTTATTCTGTTAAATTCCTTGCACCTTTTTCTTGTTTCTGAATATTAAAAAATAAAATGTAGGCAAGCTCTAAAGACACAGGGCAGTTGTTTGCTGCCTTGCACCACCGGATCTTGGCCTTGCGGAGTAGAGTGGAACAAGAGCAAGAAGTCAAGAGTGCAGCACCTGAGCCAGAGGTGACACAATCAAACGAGGAAGACAGTGATGATGATGTCATTGCACCTTCAGGATCAGCTGGAAGTGGTAAGCAAGAAAGACAAAGGGTTCCTGGTTTCCATAAATTTTTCTCTGTTGCTCTTTAAGGCAGGCTGTTCTCTAGGTGTGTATCACAGATGTACTTCTGGTCTGCTTCTCACAGTTATGACTCATGGCATGACTTGCCTTTTTACAGAATCGCAATCATCCTGGTTGGACAAGACCTTGAAGATCATCAGGTCCAACCATAGCCTAATCTACCTGTTCAGTGTTTAAATCATGTCCCTAAGCACCATTAATGCAACTGTTTCTTGCTACTTCTCCAAACTGGTAAAAAGGATCCTGTGCTACTTCCATCTGAGTTACATGTCACAGTTTAGAAGAGGTTTTCTGTGCTTCAGTTAGTTCTAGCTTTATTTATGAGATTTTTTAAGGGATTGTGTTTCATTTTTGCCTTCAGCATGGCCAAGGCTTGCACATCAAACCTGAAATGACTGTCTTGGGCAGCTTTCAGGAGGCAGGATCTGACTGACCATTGAGTGCTGTTTGGAAAGGAGAAGGTTTACAAAGGGGCATGGAAGGAGTGTAGTTAATTTCATTGCACGTGAGGAGACCATCATTTGAAAAAAAACAAACTTTCTTCTCTGCTCCTGAACTGGGAGTCATCTGTGCTTTGCTTTCCTCTGACTCAGAACATCCCACCTTTGGCAGAGACCAGTCTTCCATCCTGCTTCACTGCAAGGAATTAATATCATAAAAGCAGTGGGTGGATTAAAGAGGCTGGAAATGGAGCTCTTAGGCTCTGGGATGCTACTGGGATCCCCAAACCAGTTCAGTCAAGAATGTAAAATTCTGCAGTGAACAGAAGTTAATTTGGAGAAGTGAGATGTCGTCGGGGTGGGGAGAGCTCCACAGTTCTCATCTGTCATTGAAATTCTAAATCTGAGACTTATGTGGGCTTCTCAGGGGCAGGTCTCTTATTGTAAGGCAAGAAATAAAATACATTTCTTATGACAAAGAACTATTTTGTTTGTTTCAGGTCCTAATGATGAAGGTAACGGGCAGAATGTTGGCAGCACATAGCGGATGTGAGTGGATCTGCTTGCAAGGCTGCTATGAACACCATCTTGCAGGCACCTCTGGATCCCCCAGGCCAGCTATTATTTCAGGCAGTGTTGAAGACTCCAGGACTTAAGAACTGTGCATCCCTGTTCTGTTTGTTTGGTTTTTTGGTCTGGATCAGTAGATTCCACACAAAAAAAGCAGACTTGGAAACTACCTGAATGTGGTTTGGGACGTGAAAGCTCATCATATTGATGAGCCAAAAAAAAAACAACAAAAACCAAACATTTCCCCTCATCCCTGTAATTGAAATGGCACATTACAGCTTGTCACAGCGTTTCATTGGGACCTTTTGACTGTTTCTTCAGTAGTTCATTTCTTGCAGGCCTCCGAGATAGAACTTTCTGACATGATTCCAACTTGAATTCTGCTTTGATAACCCCTGCTCCCCCTTAGGAGTTTCTGCCACCTGCAGGGAAACCGTGTCCTCACCACTTCTACGCTCACTGACTGCCCTTTTGAGTTCATTCTCTTTTGGTTTTTGGGACTGCAGATGGGGCAGATGATGTTTTTACCTTTTAATCCCAACATAGGTTGTGGGCACCGTTGTTCCCTGGCTAGTGGGTTTGTAAACAGAGAGAAACAAAACATGGTGGTTCACCAGAAAAGCTTTTTTTAATGCAGTAATAAGAGACTTTCAAGTCCACAGGACATTTTGCTAACTCCTTTTCTTTCTTCCCATTTAATTATTTTTATTTGGGGATTTATATTGTGGTGAAACTTTTTTATTTTAGTTTTTCAAGAAGATGCTCTTGTGTGTTGAAAAAGTGAAACTATTGTTTTGTACCGTTCTTTTCTGTTACTATTTAAGGGAGAGCTAAGCCACTATATATAATAGATGTTGCATACAATTTTTCTTAGATAATTACCTGTTTCTGTGGCTACAGTAAAGTGTAGGAGGCATGCAGGTTACACCTTCAGAAAAGTTGACGAGGAAACAGCTGTTAGCCCTTGGAAGAATAAAGTAGGCTCATGTAATGAGCTCTGTCAGCCATTAAAATAAACCTGTATAATAAAGCAGCTCTCATTTAATGGCTTGATTCAACAAGCCATTTAAGCACTTGCCTGACATAACTACATGTGAATAATCTTACTGAAGCCAATGCAACTGTTCCTGCTTAAAGTTGAGTACATTTTTAAAGATCTTGCTCAATTCACGGCCTTAAGTAGAAAATTCTAACCCTTCCTGTCCCTGTTCTGTTTCCTGAAGTCTTGCAGCATGAAGAAAAAGGTAATATTGCCAGCTTTGAATAGTTTGGGCTGAAGGATATTGTATTCTGTTCCACCAAAATAAAAGCCAGAATGTGTTTTCCTGTGTGTAATTCTGAAGTACTCCTACTGTAACCATAACTCACTTTTTACTTTGGATGTTTTCTAATCATTTGGGCCTTTTGTGCAAAAGTTGAGTTTCATTATTAAAACACATGGTATATTCTTGTGCAGCAAAATTGGAATTTGGTAGTCACTTACACAACAGTGCCTAGGTCACTTTCCCTATAAATTCCCAAAACTGTTCTATTTCCTTTATAAATACTGATAGATAATTTCTCATTTCCTTGCTCTTTCTCCTGTTTGTTAAGGAGACCTAAAAGGTACCATTTAAAAGAAAATTAAAAGGTGAAGAAGCATTTAATGTAGCATGACTTGAAAATGAAAACCCAGGTTGTAGCTCAAAAGCAATTATTCAAAAAGCAAAAGAGTCCTTATTGCCTCTATTTGAATGAAACAAGCTTTTCTTCACTGGGGGTTGAGAACATGTTCAGTTTTACCTGTTGTCTGTTGTTAACAATTGTTGGAGATTTAAGCTGTTGGGGCAGGGAGGGGCTTTGCTTTTCCTTATAGCCCTTGAAGGAACATCTTGGTTTATTTTTCCAAGGAGCGAGAAGGGTGAATTATTAGCTGTGCCCACTGCAGTTGTGGCTTCTCTGCATTGTCTGTCTTTTTGCATTTTGTGTTGGTTTTTTTTTCTCCTTAGATGTAGAGGGTTTGTTACCCATGCACAACCAACTATTGCAGCCCAGGAACAGAAGTAGGGCATGTTTTCTAATACCGACACAACTGTTCTTGCATCACAAGGTCTGGGGTTACTGTCTTTTCAAATAAGTGATCTTGGATCTTTTTACACTGAGACACTTAGATTTAAACTACTTATTCCAACAACCTTGCAGGATAAAGCTACTTGTTGGCAGCATAAAGAAAATTCATGAGGTGTCTTTGGTCGGCAGGGCCTCCTTGTTGAGAAACAGATGTTTGGTCAAGGTCCCAAACAGCATGAAGATTCAGAAGAATGGCATAGGCAGGCTTGCTTTGTTGGAGTTAGTGGTGATATGCCATCCCCTTACAGCATTCTAAAAAATTTGGCATTTATTTACTGCTAGACATTTTATTTCAGCTTTACATGTATGTTTTATAGTGAAGAGGAAAATGTTAGCATGAACCACTAAAAGAATTGGCCATAGATTGAATTCAGGCCCCACCCAACAAGATGTGTTAGGCCAAAGCAAAACTCTTACTTCACTCTCTGGGTTAAGCCTTAAAAAAGCTAGTGACAGGTAACATCATAATGTGTTTTGAAAGATCTGTGTAAGAGTGTCAAATCAAAAAGGATGTGGGAACTGCATTAAAACTTTTGTCAACAAACTAGATACTGAGGAGTGGAGTCAAGTTGAGCACACCTGATGGGGGAAAATGTTGCAAGAATAGTGGTATTAGTAAAACTGGAAGTAAACCTTTTCCACAAAATGAAAAATAAGATGACATCCCCAGGAAAAATGAACATGAATGTAAGAAAATGTGCAGTTACAACATCTTTCTGTAGTCAGTTCCCTTTGCAGGATGGACTACTTCAGAGAAGACAGGGCAAGAAAAGATCTAAATAAACTAGTCCTCAGAAGCCCTCCAGTGAAACCAGGTTGGGCAGATGTTCAATTCATTAGAAGCCTGCAGGAATAAAGGAACCCAACTTTGAAATTACTCTCCTCCTGGTCCCAGTCACTGAGGTGTGTCTGTTGCTTAGATATCACTGCCATTAAATGACTGTTCTGCTGTGTCCCATTCTGCAGTTTAACTGGCCTCTTATTCTCCCAGTGAGTGTAGAAAATGGTTTCTTTCCTTTCTAGAAACATGTTACATATTTGAAAATTTACCATACTTCCCCATAATCTTACCTAGTTTTAGGAATTCCAATTATGATAATTGCCATAATTTGTCATGCAAGATTTCATTAAACTGACTTTTCACTGTGTGCTTTTTTCCCCTTGTTCTTTGGTCTTTCTGTACATCAACACACTTAAACAACTCCAGTCCATTGTGCAGGTAGCAGGTAAATTTCTGATAAAGGTGTTTTTATTTTCCTGGGGAACTTTTTCCCCCTGTCAAGATTTGCACAGAGCACAGAGGTGCTGAGAGAATTGCTAAACCAGACTCTTCAAGTCAATCTTAATTCCTGTCTCCTAGGTTATGGTACAGGTAAAGAAATGCTCAAAGACACTGTCTGTAAATAAAAGTCTCTCACAGTTAATATTCAGAATTTCCTTTTCACTACTTCCTTACAAGGAGTTTAAAGATAAGAAAGCTGAATTTCTTCACAGAGAGTGGTGAGGCCTTGGACCAGGCTGCCCAGGGAGGGGGTGGAGGCACCATCCCTGGAGATGTTCAAAAAGGGGTTGATGTGGTGTTTCATAAGAAGGTTTAGTGGTTGGAGGATGGATGGTTGGACTTGATGATCTTGAAAGTTGTGTCCAACCTTGTAGATTCTCTGTTTCTAATGAAGCCTAGGAAAAGCAAAGCTCTAATGTTGATGTGATGTCCTCCTGCTCAGGGGACCAGGAGGTATCGGGTGAGCCCCCAGCTGCGGGACATCAGTAACCACCCTGGGACCAGTCCATGCCCAGTGTGCTAGATGTACAATGGCACTAGTTGGTCTATTTTGGAGACAGGATAAAATTCCTGTCCTGGAGAGTTCAGAGTGGGAGCTCAGAAGCAGATAGGAGGTCTGTTTAATAAACAAAAAGCTCTAAAAAGAGGGAGGTTGGGGAAATATTTCAATGTGAGTTGCTGGGAGGTGCTTCTGCCCTAATTTCTAAAACAATTTCAGATGGAGAAGGAAACAGCTAGTAGTATGATGGCAAGTCATTCCCACTCCCCATGTAACAGTTGAGGGAACTAATACTTAACCAGTTTGCAGCCATTGTCAATATAAAATATGTGGAGTCATTAGAGTGATGTTACTTACCTAGATGGATTTCTGGAACTTGGCTGTTGATAATAAGTTCCACCTTCCTGCAATGGAAAGAGACTGGACTCCAGACTTGACTAGAAAGCCTCTCCCAGCATTCAGGAGCCTGAGGGCCAGGCTTCTGAAAAAGAACCCATAGCAGCAGTGCCCCAGTGCCTGAGGTAGCTGTGGCTCTGGGGGAGGCTTGTTCCATCTCTGGAAGGAGCAGGGCCAGGCCAGGGCATGTTAAACATATGGGGTGACTTTGTTAATGTGCTTGGAAAGGGCTTGACGGAAGGAATAAAGCTGCCCTATAAATTGCTTCCTTCTAGAAACTCCCTGTGGGTGTTTGGTTGCATTTGGGTTTGCATTTCTAGGCACAGCCACCGTTGTAGGGCACAGAGGCAGCAGTACATGATGCCTCCTGATGCTGCCTCCAAGCAGGAGCCTCTGTGCTGAAGGATCGTCCTGTGGCACCAGGGACAGCTCTGGGTGGAGGGCAGGTCTGCCCAGCACAGCCCCCTGGGCCACAGCAGGTGCCAAATCCCAGCCCCTCACAAGCTGCACAAACCACCAAGGGGCTGGGAAGGTGCAGACCCCGGTCCAGCCCCACCAGCAGGGCTGTGCTTCGGGAGGAAGGTGGTTCTGAAGGCTGGGAACAACTGTTCCTTGGGAGAACCTGTGGAGAAGGAGCTAGCAAGTCCAGCTGCTCCTATCCCAGAAAAGGGGTGCTGAAGGGGACTCCAGCATAGAGAAATGCACAAATAGGTATTTAATAAGCTTTTCACATCAAGGGGAATGATAAGTAGGCAGGTGAGAGAAAGCTTGAGCTTCAGCACCATTCCAGTTCTTGGAATTCTTCCACTCAGCTGTTGGGAGTCACTGCAGTGGTGGGGAAAACAGCAGTGGGAGAGCTTGGCTGGAAGGGCAGGGAGTTGTGGAAAAATAAATGCATACATTACATACACACATTACATACACACATTACAGACTCCAACTATGTGGCCTAAGTGTGTCAAAACATGTTTATTCTTATTCAGAAGGAAAAAATGGGAGATAGAAGCAGAACTGTGTGCAGAGACAGGGGGAGTCCTGGAGAATTCATAAAAATTAATCCAAGTACTAGTTAGTCACAGCTACACCCATATGCACAAAACCCCCCACAAACCCCACACCAACAACCCTAGAGCCCCCCCAAACACCACAAAACACCCAGCACTGAACGATTAAAGGGTCAGAGCACGTTTGGACCCAGAGCGTCCCCAGCTGAGCAGCCTCAGAGCCAGGGGGTGCGGGAGGATCCGTCCCTGGCGGGGCCCGGGGGGCCCGGGGGGGGTGACACGGGAGCTCCCAGCGCCGCGCGAGGGGACACGAGGGGACTTGAAAGGACACGAGGACACACCGGGGGACACACCGGGGGTCACACCGGGGGTCACACCGGGGGTCACACCCACGCCCCCCCCTCCTCGCG